GCTGTTGTCTTTCTTCTTGTTTCTTTTCTTTTTCCTCCAACAACTGCTGTAATTTCTCTTCTTGTTTATTTTGTTGTTCAAGCTGCCACTGTTGCATGTTTTCTTGCAACTGCTGTTGTCTCTCTTCTTGTTTATTTTCTCGTTCTTCTTGTTTCTTTTGCTGTTCTTGTATTGCTGCCATTAAGTCTGCTATGCTGTAGTTTGATTTGCCACTTCTCGTTTCCATTTTTTTTTCTGTTCCACTCTCTGACACCAATTTGTTACGTCTCCGTTTGTTAATTAATTTTCCGTAACTTCGTTCCGACGAAACTTTAGCGACACAAGTCCTTACTTAATAAAACTGGTTTATTCTTTCTGAATATAACTTTACGATACACTTTTATTGTTGACGTTCGTTGATATAGCGTTTGTTTTAGCGCGATTGTTGAAAATTTTCTGACTGCAGTTCAATTACTCACTATCTAAACACACATTACATTCCCGTCACGTTGTCACCCTCTTTTATATACCAGAATACCCTATATCTAGTAAACGCTAGAGCATTCGCCAAGGTACAGGATAGTTCTAGAAACGTGGCGTCACACTAGTCATGTGACTTCGCTTACGCAACAATATACTTACTTGCTTTCTTTTACACTTTCTGAGATAATGTATGTATGTGATCAGGTGAAGTAATTTATATTGTTAACTTATGTAGACATCGGTTTTAGGCCTACAATCAAGTGAAGTGACTTATTTGTTAATAGATGTAGACATTGGTTTTAGGCCTACAATCAAGTGAGGTGACTTAATTGTTAATTGATGTAGACATCGGTTTTAGGCCTACAATCAAGTGAGGTGACTTAATTGTTAATTGATGTAGACATCGGTTTTAGGCCTATAATCAAGTGAAGTGACTTAATTGTTAATTGATGTAGACATCGGTTTTAGGCCTACAATCAAGTGAAGTGACTTAATTGTTATTTGATGTAGACATAAGGCAGAAACTGGTCGTATAACTGTGCATTTGTGAATGTTAAGGAAGTCACTTTATATATTTGTCGTGAAAAAACTTAGTTTTGTACAAAGACCAACGCTATTAGTATGAGACAATAAATGTAATCATGAAAATATTTTTGTTTCTGAATACACGCCTCCTGTGACTCAGAGGGAAGGGTGGGGCTTTAAAAATCGAGTTTCTATACCTGCGGTGTGCAAAGCACAGATAGACCATTATGTAGGTTTCAGCTTAACAAGAAACAAATAAAACTATTTTTTATCTAATATTCTCGTTTCCTGTCGTGTTACATAACGAAAGTAAGTCACACCTGCAACAATGCCTTGAAATCTAATCAAAACACTTTTGGGTTGACTTGGCGGTGTACTATGACGTCACTCCATCTTTTCTCACACTTCACTTTACTTCGTCGTTCTCATTTTGTCCCTGATGAAGAAAAGTCCATCTTTCGAAAGCGCTCGAGTTACAGAGTTTTGTATTATTGTGTGTGTTTGTTGTTTATTTATTTATGAATACAAAACAGCTCGGTGTCACTAAAGTTATTTTTGTTTTTCACAAGTAAAATATATCAGGGTAAATGACGGCACCCTAAAACATTTGACCTTTCTGTTCATCCACTGAACGTAAAATATGTTTCTAGGAACGAAAAATAAGAGATAGATAGTAATGTAACAAAGCGCACAATCATATATTAAAAATAAGAGATAGATAGTAATGTAACAAAGCACACAATCATATATTAAAAATAAGAGATAGATAGTAATGGAACAAAGCACACAATCATATATTAAAAATAAGAGATAGACAGTAATGTAACAAAGCATACAATCATATATTAAAAATAAGAGATAGACAGTAATGTAACAAAGCGCACAATCATATATTAGAAATAAGAGATAGATAGTAATGTAACAAAGCACACAATCATATATTCAACTAGGATGATAATAGTTAGAAAATAATACCTGTCATGCAAACTACTGGTACCGAATAAAAACGACCTGTTAATTTCTGAGAAACTTGTTTTAATCTGAAACAGAAATAAAATATATCGACTGAATGAAACCAGACGTGAAATGTTTATATTCTTACCTGTAATTTCGATCTGATTAGTGCTCATAAGAGAAAACCAGTTTTCTAATTCTTCGTTTTTATACGAGTTGTTAGGGTACGTGTAGAATACATTCTAAACATGGAAAAAAGAAAAGCTTGAGGAATGTTGGTTTTGGAATATGAAAGCTGTTAATTTTTAAAACCACGTGGAACACTTATCATGTGTTACGATACAACTAACTGAGAACTACAAGCTTAAGGAGTAGCAGTTATTATGAGTGTAGCACATAGATCAGTAGCAGGTCTTATGAGTGTAGCACATAGATCAGTAGCAGGTCTTATGAGTGTAGCACATAGATCAGTATCATATCTTATGAGTGTAGCACATAGATCAGTATCATATCTTATGAGTGTAACACATAGATCAGTAGCAGTTATTATGAGTGTAGCACATAGATCAGTAGCAGGTCTTATACGTGTAGCACATAGATCAGTATCATATCATATGAGTGTTACACATAGATCAGTAGCAAGTCTTGTGAGTGTAGCACATAGATCAGTATAATTTCTTATGAGTGTAGCACATAGATGAGTAGCAGGTCTTATAAGTGTAGCACATAGATCAGTAGCAGGTCTTATGAATGTAGCACATAGATCAGTATAATTTTTTATGAGTGTAGCACATAGACCGGTAGCAGGTCTTATGAGTGTAGCACATAGACCGGTAGCAGGTCTTATGAGTGTAGCACATAGATCAGTATAATTTTTTATGAGTGTAGCACATAGACCGGTAGCAGGTCTTATGAGTGTAGCACATAGATCAGTAGCAGGTCTTACGAGTGTAGCACATAGATCAGGATGATACTTGTAATGATAACTAAGCATTCGGCGAATAAAAATGGTGGAAGATACGTGTGTTATATACATATAAAAAATAGTAGTTATAATATATATATATATGCAATTAGAATATAAGAACTTAGCATAATAATAAGTGAGGTAAAAATAACTTAAAATGTAATCCAAAAACTTGCAAAGATAAATATGCCGAAAAAATTTATCATGAATGATGTTAAAAATCTAATTATATATTAAAAGGTCAAGCTTTTATATATATATATAATGGCTGGAGAAGGCTTGAATGGGTAATGAAGAAAAACTTTAATCATCATGACAAAACCTTGTCGAAACGTTGTACATTTGCTGTTATGTTAAACTTATATTAAAGTTTTTCTTCATTACCCATTCAAGCCGTCTCAAGCCATTATTAGTCTCAAAGTGGGTTCCTCGTCATCGAATATATATATATATTAACATTTTCGATCGTTTACTACAATATGTTTAAAAGAATGGTTAAAATTTGGGATAAAGCTTTCACTGTTACTCAGTAAATACAGTGACTAATGACACAGACTTGTCCGAATTATGATCTTAGGGTGTAAATAAAACTATACACCTGG